GATGGCGATGATGCTGCTGCTTATGGTGGCGGTGATGGAGTTGGGTGGTGATGCTGATGATGATTATGATGCTGATGACGACGATGATGATGACGATGCTGCAACTGCTGGTGGTGATGATGATTATAACGATGATGACGATGCTGATGATACTGACGACGATGATGATGATGATGATGATGTGGTTTACGATGACGATGATGATGGTGATGATGATGCCGATTATGACGCTGATGATGATGTCGATGATGATGCTGATGATGATTATGACGATAACGATGGCAATGCTGCGTCTTATGATGGTGCTGTTGGAGATGATGAGGATGCTGCTGCTGATGATGATGATGCTGCTGATGACAGGGACCATGACGACTACGATGATGATGCATGATGACGACACTGGTGGTGATGATGATGAACATGATGATGTTGCTGATGATGATGATGATGATGATGATGATGATGATCATGCTGTTGCTGACGATGGCGATGATGCTGCTGCTTATGATGGCGGTGATGGAGTTGGGTGGTGATGCTGATGATGATTATGATGCTGATGACGACAATGATGATGATGATGATGATGATGACGATGCTGCAACTGCTGGTGGTGATGATGATTATAACGATGATGACGATGCTGATGATACTGACGATGATGATGATGATGATGATGATGATGATGATGATATTGTTTACGATGACGATGATGCTGATGATGATGCCGATTATGACGCTGATGATGATGTCGATGATGATGCTGATGATGATTATGACGATAACGATGGCAATGCTGCTGCTTATGATGGTGCTGTTGGAGATGATGAGGATGCTGCTGCTGATGATGATGATGCTGCTGATGACAGGGACCATGACGACTACGATGATGATGCATGATGACGACACTGGTGGTGATGATGATGAACATGATGATGTTGCTGATGATGATGATGATGATGATGATGATGATGATCATGCTGTTGCTGACGATGGCGATGATGCTGCTGCTTATGATGGCGGTGATGGAGTTGGGTGGTGATGCTGATGATGATTATGATGCTGATGACGACGATGATGATGATGATGATGATGACGATGCTGCAACTGCTGGTGGTGATGATGATGATTATAACGATGATGACGATGCTGATGATACTGACGACGATGATGATGATGTTTGCGATGACGACGATGATGCTGATGATGATGATGCCGACTATGATGCTGATGATGATGATGATGATGATGATGTCGATGATGATGCTGATGATGATTATGACGATGACGATGGAGATGATGAGGATGATGATGATGATGATGATGATGATGATGTTGACAATGATGATGCTTATGATCACGATGATGATGGTGCTGATGATGATGCTGATGTTAATGCTGATGATGATGATGACGCCGACAATGCTGATGATGATGCCGATGGCGATGACGATGGTGATGACGATGGCGATGATGCTGCTGATGATGATGGTGATTCGATGCCGATGATGGTGCTGCTGCTGATGATGATGATGATGATGATGATGATGATGATGATGATGATGATGTCGATGCTGATGCTAATGATTACGACGACCACACTGCTGATGCTGCTGCTGCTGATGATGATGATGACGATGGCGATGATAATGGCGATGACGATGGCGATGATGATGCTGATGGTGATGGTGATGGTGATGATGATGATGATGATGATGATGATGATGAGGATGATGATGATGATGATGCTGGTGATGGCAATGATGGTACTGATGATGATGCTGATGATGATGGTGATGATGCTGATACTGAGAATGATGAAGTGGAGGATGCTGATATTGCTGATGCCAACGATGTTGAGTATGATGAGGACGATGATGTTGACGCTACTGTTGCTGCTGATGATGACGACGATAAGTATGATGACGGTGATGGCGATGGTGATGATGATGGTGATGGTGATGGTGATGTTGCTGGGTGATGGTGATGGTGATGGTGATGGTGATGGTGATGTTGATGATGATGATGATGATGATGATGATGATGATGATAATAATAAGGATTATGCTGATGATGATGATGATGACGATGCTGATGCTGAAGCTGCTGGCGACGTGGAGGAGAAGGAGGAGGATGAAGAACAGTAGGAGGTGGAGGAGGAGGAGGAAGACTCTCACACGTGACATCTTTTGTCTTCGCTATTTGATGAGCTCTCATGGAACTCGCTTGGGCCGTCTTGAGGCTGTCTTGGCCTCCTGTGAGGCAGTCTTTTGGGTCCGTTGGGGCCCATTTGGGCCGTCTTGTGGCCCTCTTACGCCGTCTTGGGGCACTCTTGGGCCGCCTTCGGTCCTCTTGGCCGTATGGAGGGTGTGTGGGGGCCGTCATGGTGCAGCCTGGGACGTCGAAAGGCCTTCTAAGACCATCTTGGGTCCCATGGGAGGCCCTCTTGGGTTGTCTTGGGGCCGTCTTGGGTCCTTCTTGGGCCATCTTGGGATCCCTTGGACCATCATGGGACCCTCTTGGGGGCCTCTTGGGCCGTCTTGGGGCCATCGTGTGGGCTTCTTCGGCCGTCTTGAGCTGACGGAAGCCCGAAAAGGCGAGAATGCGAAACTCTTTAAATTCACCCACGGGGGATACTGATTTTGGTTTCTTCGGACCCTGTTGGAGGTCCTCTTGAGGCCCTGTTTGGCCTACTGGAGGCATCTTGAGCCGTCTTTGGGGCATGTTGGGCCGTCTTCGAGGCTTCTTCGGCCATCTTGGCGTCCTTGTTTGCCTGCGCCGTCTTGGAAGCTTGGGGCGCGGATCCATCGTTTTTAACCAGGGGTTGTTTCAGGAGCGCGGATTTTCTTGTGTGTGTGTGTGTGTTTTGTTGTTGCTGTTGCTGGTTGTATCTTTCAACGAGGGGTCGTGGGCTCAGGAGGTGGGGCGATGCATGCAGCGAGAGGCTGGCAGGGGGTGGTGGTGGTGGTGGTAGTCTCCTTTCTTAGGAAGCGGAAGCCCTGCCAGGCAGCCCTTGCCATTCTTCCACGCCTCAACGTGCGCATGGCACGGCGGCGGATGACATTGCTGTAGTTGCTCCATTTTTGGGTTATTTGTTCTGGCTCACCGATCGCATGTTTGCCCAACCACCCAAACCCGAAAGGCCAGCTTGCGAAGCTCTGTTGCCTTCTAAGATCGACGCGTCCAGCCCGGCGCGAAGGTCAGTGCGGCGCGCCTTCACGATGTCTGTACATGAGGTCGAATCCACACTGAGATTAGCAGGCTGAGATCTGTTCTTCAGACCTCCTGAGTTTCACATGATTTCTGCTCATGGTTGGACATTTTTGGGTTTGCGGCTCGTCAAGTCTGGTTCTGTAGTTCGGTAGGGTGAACGTGAAACCACCAGGCGAATTCGAACATAGAAGACACAACGAACATGTTGTCGCCCAGGTGCTGAGCTCGCTTGTGTTCGGAGTCCGTAGTCAGTCAGTGCTCTCTTAGAAGGACAGTACGGGTCGACATACTTTGGGAGTGGTTGTATGTTCTGGTACTTGCAAGGGGATCATGAGGCTTTTGAGTATTCGATGCTATGAGGCAGTCACGGTGATTACATGCAGCTCACCCCACTAATTCCCTACTGCTTTTGTCGTTCTGCTCTTAAGCTGCCGTGTGTAATTTGTACCTGTTCAACCTCATGCATGCTTGAACTCCTGTGCAGGGCCCAGCGTTGATACGGATGAACTGCGGAATCGTGGGGAGGGAACGAGAACAGTGGCAGATAATGAGGTGTATCGGAATACGAATTAGGGAACTCTTGACGTACACCAGGAACCTAGAAGCGCGCGGAGCACGCGAGTGGTTAAGTGTACGTGTTTGCATGATCGGTTTATCAGTTTCCATGTTGTTTGATTGCCTCCAGAGCTTACTTCCGCGAAAGCCACCAGTTTTTCATTTCCTTGCATGTGGCGCTCGAGGCGGACTTCTGCACCCAAGTCCACAGGAATGTCGACTACACGTCGTGTCGCGCATTCGTGCGCCACTGCACGAGCACTCGGCAAAGCGCACGTGTACGTCTCAGAACCAACGGAGCCAATGATGCAATCCGACATCATGTTTCTCGCAGGCCATTCAGGCAATGGAGCGGCAGTTCTTGCCATGGTCGGTCGTGCAAAAGGACTCGCAGGAGCTGCGATTCCATGCAAACGGCTCGCTGTTCCAAGGAATTGATGGCGGAGACGGCTGCCATTCGCTGTCTCGATTTCTCGCTAAGGCGCTGCTCAGCAATGGCATCTTATCAAGTATTGCACGCCTGCACATTGGTCACTATTTTTCATGTGTGGAGCGCATGGTCTGCGTCATCATGAGGCTCATCTTTGTTCAGGTGAAGTTTCTCATCGTGGACACAGCACCACATCATTGATTGCAGAGCCTTCGATGCTCAGTTCCAAACGCTCGGTTTGAAACATAGCAATTCGAGGCAAATCAATAGACAGCTCTATGGCATAAGGCATAGGCGTGTTCGACCATCCCCTCCGTGTGGCCCAAGAAAAATACGATAATATTCCAAACGCCATGATGCCAGATTCAGGGTTTCCCAGCGTCTCCGTCCTCCGTTCCTCTCTCGGTCATCCCACCTCCCTGACCCCCTCGGCTTCCCGCGAAGTATCAGCCTAGCGTGCAAGAGCGACGAACGCCTTGCCCCCTCAATGGAACCCAAGGACCCTCCAGTGGAGCCACACGGGATGCGTGTGGCAATAACGACGATGCTTCGCCTCTCCCGAGGAAGAAATAACGACATAAATATGAACTTTCGGAGGTCCTCGCGAATTTCCTGGACTGACGGCGGTTCCTTCTCTTTGGCGCGCGGAGCGCGCCAGGGGCGGCGCCGGAGGCGCCGCTAGGGTGGGGGCCCAGCGCCGATCCAGCGGAGCTCCGGAAACGATATTCATGCAGTTTTTCTTCTTCGATGCTCGTTCCCCCCTCCGTCCCCCTGTGGCGGCAGTGACAAGAGGCCGCCTTCCCAGGCAAAGTGGGCCGACGAGGAGCACAAGGGCAAGATCATTCAGAAGATGACCACCGCCACCACCACCGAGCCCATCGAAGTGCGTGCCACGCCGCGGCCCGTCGTGCCGCGCGCGCCGCCCCGCGCGCCGTGGCACGGCGCGCGCGCGAGCGCGCGCGTCGCGCGTGTTGCGCTCTCGCGTGCCATGCTGCGGCGCGCCGCGGGCGCGCGCCTGCGCTGTCGCTGAGCCCCTCGTGCTCCCATCGGTGCGCGCCGCACGCGGTGCTGTGCGCGGCGCTGTGCCGCGCACCCACGCTGTGCGGGCCCAGAGCGGAGTGCCTTTGGGTCGTTGGAAGGCTCTCCCCTCGGAGGGCACCGACTGGAAGCCTGCACCGATCCTGGCCGGGCCGATGCCGGGCCAGTGGTTGGCGCATGCGCCGTCCTCGCCAAGCCAGGAGGGCGCACACACCAGTCCTGGGCCCAGGGTCGGCCCGGCCAGGAGGAGGGGTGTGGGCATGCAGTGTGCGCCCTGCGACCTCTTCGCTCAGTGAGCCGACGTTCTCGCCCTCGCTTGGTGCACACCTGGGGCACCGTGGCGCGCCTGGCGCACGAGCACACGGCGCCCCAGGGCACGCGGGGCACCTGGCGAAAAAGGTGTGCACGGCGCTTCTGGCATGTGTATCTGGCTGCCAGCCCCGGCGTTCTGGGCGGGGGCTGTTCGAGGGGGCACGGGAGGCCGCAGCGTGCGACACCTCGTGTGCCCAGCCTCGGGGAAGCCGCAACACGTAGCAGGTTTTCTGTGCGCCCTGTCGATGTTGTGAGCGAGTGTGACGATGAAGGTGATGATGATGATGATGATGATGATGATGATGATGATGATGGTGATGATGATGATGCTGATGCTGTTAATGATGATGATGATGATGATGATGATGATGATGATGATGATGATGCTGACGATGATGATGCTGATGACGATGCAGGTGGCGGTGATGATACTAATGATGGTGATCTGATGATGAGGTCAATGAGACATATGGTTGTATGTTTTATGATGATGATGACGTCAGCAGCAGTGTCACTTGACACTGCTGCTGCTGATAGTTTTGATGATGATGATGCTGCTGATGATGATGAAAATGATGCTGATATTGATTATGAGGACGAATGGGTGATGATGAAACGGATCCTATTAATAAGTCAATAATTGTGGCAGGCGAGGGGGATGCACACCATGATGATTGTGCCGACGGTAAGATTGATGTTAAGGATGACGTCGGTGTTATGATTATGCTGATGCTGATGATGATGCTGCTGATGATGATACTGATTATGCTGATGATACTGCTGGTGATGACGCTGTTGATGATGATGATAATGTTGCTGCTGATGCTGCTGCTGATGCAGATGCTGATGTTGATGGCGGTTATGATAACTTATGATGATGCTGCTAATGATGATAATGATGATGATGATGCTGCTGTTGATGATGATGGCGATGACGATGATGATGATGATGATGATGATGATGATGATGATGGTGGTGGTGATGATGACGATGACGATGACGATGGCGATGATGATGATGATGATCAGGATGATAATGATGGTGATGATGACGATGACCATGACGATGACGACTATGATGATTATGATTCTGATTATGATTATGATGATGATGATGATGCTGATGATGATGATGATGATGATGATGACGATGATGATGATGATGCTGACGATGATGATGATGATGCTGCTGATGATGATGAGCATGATGATGATGATGATGAGGATGATGATGAGGATGATGATGAGGATGAGGATGAGGATGAGGATGAGGATGAGGATGAGGATGAGGATGAGGATGAGGATGATGATGATGATGATGATGATGATGATGATGATGATGATGATGATGATGATGATGATGATGATGATGATGATGATGATGCAGATGACGAGGAGGAGGAGGAGGAGGAGGAGGAAGAGGTCGGCGGTCCGGGGCCGTGTTGGGGCCTTGACGAGCTCTCATGGAGCGCACTTGGAGAGTGTTGAAGCTGTCCTGAGCTCCTGTGGGGCAGTCTTGAAGGTCCCTTACGGCACCCTTCGGCCATCTTGGGGCCCTTTTGGGCCGTGTTAGTCACCACCCACCAAACCACCCCGACCCAACCCGAAGGCCTCAAATTGACCTCCATTTCCAGTGGGGGGGGGTCGGGGAACATCGAGAAAACACATATGGAGCCCGTAACCCCGCCAACCCGAAATTCGGGTCTTCGGGTTGGGTTGGGGTGGTCTGGTAGGTAGTCAGTTGGGGGGCTCTCTTGGGTTGCTTGGCGCCTGTTTGGTCTTTGGGGACCATCGTGGAGTCGTCGTTGGGCCGTCTTGAGCCGTTGACTGTCCCACTAACGCGGTCCTGTCCCCGTGGAGGCCCTTTCTCGGCCAGCGTGCGCCCTTGCGGCCGTCCTGGGCCTTGTAGGGACTCTCTTGGGCCGTCTTGAGGCTGTCTCGGAGGATTCTTTGGCTATCTTGGGCATCTCTCGGGTCGTTTTGGGGCCACCTTGGAGGCCTCCAGGGCTAGCTGGAGCTGAAGAAAACTCGAAAAGGTGAATACGCCCCAAACTTTGAAACATGTATGCAACATCTATGACTTTGGCTTTTTTGAGCTCTACCGGGGTCCTGTAGTGGCCCTCTTGGTCTGTCTTGGGGGCCTCTTTTGGGGCCGTCTTGAGGTCACTTTGGCAGTCTTGGGGCCACCTTGGGTCGTCTTGGAGGCATCTTAGGCCATTCTGGCATCCTCGCCTGCATCGTCCGTCTTGGAAGCTCGGGATCATGGATCCGTAGTTTTTCGTAAGTGATCCTGGCCCTGGGAGCGCTGATACATTGTTTTGTGCAAGGGGTCGTGACCCTTGGAGCGCGCATTCATAGATTTTGGTAACGTTTCGTGGTCCCTGGAGCGCGGACCCATTTTGTTACAAGGGATTGTGGCCTCGGGAGCGTAGACCAACGGTCCATACAAAAGGGACATGGGGGTGGGCGGTGCACGCATCTCCGTTATTGGAAGGGGGAGGGATCTAGTACAAGGGTACAGAAGCCCTACGAGATTTATGGTGGTCCAACCTACTCTAGCCTTGATCATCCGAAAGAATTCCGAGCACCAGTAAAGTACCGAAACTGGAGGGTTTTCACGCTTTGGGCCCTGGGAGGCGATACTCGCTCGACACTGTTTCGATACTTCTCTGGGTGCATTTCTGTTATGTGGTCCTTAAGTACGATGGGAGAAGCATAATACGAGACAGCACTTGACATTCTACCACGCCTCGGCCTACCAGGGGGGGCACTGGGTGGATCGTCTCCAGCTGCTGTCTCCGCTTCCCCTTACTCTCACCCGTCCTCGTCCTCGTCCCCTTCCTTGGGATGCAGCTCCTGGGCATCGGCGCTGGTACATCTGTGGTGAAACTGGTCTGATCCAGCATCGTCTTGTTTAATTGCGCTTGTTTCGCTTAATCCGACTGAATCGGGCTTCATCCTGGGCGTCATCCAGGCTAATTTTGCTTTATGGCTTCTCAATCGTGCTTGTTAGCCCCTCATCGTTCTTACGCAGACCTTTCAGAAGCTGCCTCCTAACCTTCCTCGCCCCTTGATGCCCTTTCCGTTCCTCTTCCCCATCCCCTTCCCCTTCTCCGGCGGGTCTAGGACAGGGATAAATCTTTCCAGAGCGTTCCGGAACGCTCTCGGAGCGCTCTGGAGCGCTCTGAGAAGCCCTCGGCGCCCGATACATCCTCCAGAATTGCTGGATCTCGGAGATTCCCGATTTGTTCATGTCCGGCTTTGCCCCTGTCCTGGCTTCGTCCTACCTTCCTGCCCCTTGTCGGCAGCGCGATTTGGAGCAGCGTTTGCACACCGCGGGCGCTCTCGTCGGGTCGCGGCGTCCACGCGGGCGGGCGGCTGTCTCCCGACTGCGCTCGTCTCTCGCCCACGTCGACGCGTCCCCTCTTCGCGTGATGTCTATGCCATCCGATCACCACCACCCACCACCCCGACCCAACCCGAAGGCCTCAATTTGCCCTCCATTTCCATTGGGGGGGGGTCGGGGAGCATGGACAAAACACATCTGGAACCCGTACCCCCGCCAACCCGAAATTCGGGGTCTTCGGGCTGGGGTGGTGTGGTGTTGCTCGGCAGTCATCCAAGGCTGGGTGTTGCGGCCGGGTGCAGCTAAGACGCTGGCACGTTTGGTGGTCAAGAACCGATCCCCGGAGCTATCCCAGGGTGCGTTCTGGCCGGGATTTCGGGGCAGATCCAGCCGTGGCGACGAGGAGCCCCCCTGGAGGCCAAGACGCTGCGCTGGGGACCGCGTCGGCCTCAGAGGGGGCTGTTTTGGTCTGCTGGCCGTTCCTCGGAGCCACGGCGGGGAGCGCATTCGTGACCGAGGCACGCCCTGGCCAGAGAAGCCCCTTCGCTTTGTGATCAGCGTTCCCCACGGGAGCACGGTGACAGTCCAGACACACACACACATGTACATATATGTATATATATATATATATATATATATATATATATATATATATATACACGGCCATCCATCCATACGTGCACACATCCACATACATATACACATACACACATACACACATACATGTATACATACACACATACGTATACACAAACAAACATACACACATACATTCACACACCCATACACCCATACACACATACACACATACATACATACCTGCATACAAACACACACACACACCCATACATACAAACATACATACAAACATACAAACAAACATACATACACACATACATACATACGTACGTACATACATACATATTCACATACATACACACACATATATATACATATATATATATACAAACATGCATACATGCATGCATCCATACATGCACACACACATACATACGTACAAGCATCCACACATACATACATACATACATACATGCACACATACATACATGTACACATTCATACATGCATGCATACACATACATACACACACATACATACATACATTCATTCATACATGCATACATGCAACAATTCAGTTGTTATGTGCATGTGCATATAACTGTGTACGTATTAGATATAGATATGTGTTCATATGTGTATATACACACATATATATGTATCTACGATGAACATGTTTATACGCTGTACACATATTGGAGGCTGCTTTTGTGCGCTCGGGACCTGCGCGAACCGCCACGATGCTGCGCGTGGTGCGCTCGCAGACGTCGCACGCCCCCCCCCCCCGCGCTCGATCTTGCTCGCCGCCCCCGAGAGTCAGGCGCCGAGCGCCGCTGGCAGCAGAAGCTGGAGCGCCCAGGGGGGTGGGGGGCTCCAGCTCCTCCTCCTCCTCCTCCTCCTCCACCGCGGCAGCGTGGCGAGGAGACTCGCAGGAGCCCCGGTGAGAGGAGGAGGAGAGGGCGGTTCGCGCCCGACTCGGGGGCCTCGAGGCGGCGCTGGCGGTGGAGGTGGCTCATGTGGGAGGGGGAGAGGACGTGAGACGAGGGGTGAGGACGGGGAGGCGGAGGAGCATGGTGAAGGTGGAGGAGTTGGAGGAGGAGGAGGAAGAGGAGGAGGATGAGGATGAGAAGGAGGAGGAGGTGGAGGAGCAGGAGGCGGAGGAGTATGAGTAAGATGGGGGAGGCGGAGGTGGAGGAGGAGGGGGATAATGATTTCCCAACGGATCTCAGGTTGCCTAACGTAGAGATGAGGATGACGAGGATGGTGGTGGTGATGATGATGATGATGATGATGATGATGATGACGTGGAGGAGGAGGAGGAGGACGCAGAGAAGGATGAGCATGAGGATGCTGATGATGCAGATTTTGAAGATGGTAATGACGATACTGATTATACTGATGATGCTGCTGCTGCTGCTCATGATGATGTTCTTGATGATGAGTTTGTATGACGAGGATGATGACGATGATGAGGAAGATGATGAAACTCATGCTGGCGATGGTGGTGATGCTGATGACGATGCTGATGCTCGTGACGATGCTGCTGCTGATGATGATTGCGTTGATTATGATGTTGGTGAAGCTGATGATGATGCTGACGATGATCATTCTGACATTGCTGTTGATGACGATGATGCTGATGATGAACGCGTCGATGATGACGATGATGACGATACTGCTGATGATTGTGATGATGATGTTGATGACGATTATTCTGATAATGATGATGATGATGCTTACGACGAATCTGACGACGACGACGTTGACGATGCTGATTATGATGCTGTTATTGTTGTTGATCATGCTAATGATGATGGTGATTACGATCATTATGCTGATGGTGATGATGATGATGATGATGATGTCGATGATGATGCGGCTGCTGATGATGATGATGAAGATGATGATGAAGATGATGATGATGATGATGAGACTATGGGTGAGGGTGATGATGACAGTGACGATCATGGCCATGATTATGCTGACGATGATGATGCTGATGCTGATGATGATGATGATGATGCTGATGCTGATTATGCTGATGCTGATGACGACGATGACGATGACGATGCTGACGACGATGATGACGATGATGATGATGACGATGGTGATAATGATGATGATGATGATGATGATGATGATGATGATGCTGATGATGATGATGATGATAATGATGATGAAGAGGATGATGATGATGGCGATGATGATGATGCTGATGATGATGATGATGATGATGATGCTGATGGTAACGATGATGCTGATAATGATGCTGCTGATGATGATTACGTCGATGATGTTGATGACGACGACGACGTTGATGATGATGGTGGTGGTGGTGATGATGATGACGACGATGATGTTGATGATGATGATGATGACGATGATGATGATGGTGATGATGCTGCTGATGATAAAGCTGATGATGCTGATGCTTAAAATGATGATGATGATGATGATGATGGTGGTGATGATGATGATGATGATGATGATGATGATGATGATGGTGATGGTGATGGTGATGGTGATGGTGATTGTGATGATGCTGATGATGATGATGCTGCTGCTGATGATGATGGTGGCTGTTGTGGTGGTGGTGATAATGCTTATGCTGATGCTGATGATGCTGCTGCTGCTGATGATGATGATGATGATGATGATGATGATGATGATAATGATGATGATGATGATGATGATAATGATGATGGCGAGGATGAGGATTCTGGTAATGGTGACGGTGATGGTGGTGATGATGATGATGAGGAGGAGGAGGAAGAGGAGGAGGATGAGGAGGAGGTGGAGGAGGAGGAGGAGGAGGAGGAAGAGCATGAGCAGGAGGGGAGGACGCAAACAAATGTGACAAGGAAGCCGGGCCGCGGAGTCTATCACTGCTTCGCCAGCTGTCCAGGCTGTAGTCGGGGCGGAGCGCTGGGGTGGGCAGCAGTGTGCAGGCCTCGGGCTCCTGCGCTTTGTTCCCCCCCCTCGATCCTTCCGTCTTTGTCCGTGGGCCCTCCCTTCCCCAAGGACCCTGCGGTACCATGAGCTTCGATCGTCTTGCGGTCTTTCAGTGTGTCCGTCACTGCTGTCGGTCTCACTTGCTCGCTGCTCTTCCCACAGGAGCAGCTGAGCAGTCGGCTCACTCGAGGCTCATGTGGTGTTTCCATGTAGGCTCCCCCTCTCCATCTTCTCCTTCCGCTTCTCTCCTCTCCTCCTTTTGCTTCTTGACTTCTATTCGTTTTCGCTCTCTGTGGAGGCTTCTGGAGGCCCAAACAGGCGCCAGCGCGCCTAAGAGAAATCCTAATCAGTGGATGGTTTGAGAATTAGTGATATGGATCTTTAGATCGATTGTTAAATCGATAGTGAGATCGATAGTGGGATCGATAGTGAGGACGATAGCAAGCTCGATCGTGAGACCGATAGGGAAGTCGATTTACAGAGAGCGATAGTGATATTCGATCGTGAGATCGTTCGTGCAATCTATAGTGAGATCGATTGTGAGACAGATAGTGAGATCGATTGTGAGATCGATCGTAAGATCGATAGAGATGGGTAATTCGATCGATTGTGAGACCGATCGATAAGGAGAACGATCAGGAGCCTGGGAACCCAGAAACCCGGGAACCCCTCCGCCCATTGAAATCGGCCCGGACCCAGCAACCGGGAACCGGGGAACCCGGAATTGGGAACCTTGGAACCGGGCCGCCTACCAGAATCGGCTGGGCCGTTTCGCCAAGTTTTTCAACATTCGCCAGGACCCTTTCGGTGCAAGTGTTGCTTATTGATTTTTCATCCAAATAATGATTATAGTCAATTCTTCCTAGCACTCGCACCTTGTTTTTTATCAGGGAAAGTCTTGAGGGTCAATCTGTGCCCCTGGCCCCCGAGTTACAGCAACAATGGCTCCTGCCTGATATTTCCTTTCTATTTATTGGAAGATTCAGACTTTCGCCTGATACTTCCTGGCAATCTACTGAGGGATCGCGCTCTCGCTTGAGACATCCTCACAATTTATTCAGACGCCGCGCCGTCGCCACTAAGGAATCACGTTCTCGTTGTGGGTTTCCGAACGATTTATTTTTGGAATCGCGCAATCGCTCGAGACTTACCCGCGATTCATGCAGGACGCCCGTTTCAGCAACCCGTCTGCCCCTGGCCCCATCCTTCCATCCCTCCTCTTCGCCTGCCTCAGGGGCTGCACGAAATACACGTTGCAGGTAAGAAAGATATTCCCCTAAGCGTGCACGGCACGATCAAAGATAAAGAGGGCGGGTATCGAGGGTTCGGGATATACGTCTTAAATGGCACGCGAGCAGATAAGAGCGAGTAGTCTTAAATTTATTGTAGTTGTTGCTGTCGTTATTGTTGTGGTTCTTGTTGTTGCTGCTGCTGCATTTATTGTTGTTGTTGATGGTGTTAGTATTGTTGTTGTTATTGTTGTTGAATTTTGCTCACTGAAGAAAGATTATTGTTGATATTCCCCCTCCGGTGAGCATTGCTGTTTTTCATTTGAAGTGCTTCCCCCGGGGCTCGCACCCTTTTTTAAGACGACAAGTCACGGGGATGAAATTGTGTTGTTGGCCCCGGGTTTACAACAACAGCGGCTCCAGCCTGATACTTCCCCACAATTTATTCCCAAATCGCGCTCTCGCGGGGGACTTTCTCACAAGTTGTACACGAATCGCGCTCTCGCGTGGGAATTCCTCGCAATTTATTCAGACGATGCGCTCTCGGAGCTCAGGAATAACACTCTCGCTTTGGTTTTTCTCACGATTTACTTGGGAATCGCGCTATCGCTCGTGACTTCCTGGCGATTCATGCAGGACCCACGCTTTAACAACCCGCCTGCTCGACCTGGTCGCCTGGGCCCGCCTTCCCGACCTGCCCGCTATGGGTCTGCCCACCCGATTTGCCCGTCTGGTTCTACCACTCGTTTTCTGATCCTGGCCCCCTTGCTGCTAATTTTTCTCGTGCTACATTCTTCTCCCTCCCCCTTCCACCCGTCTTCTCTTCCCTTGGTTTAGGGGCTGCACTACATGCACGTGGCAGGTATGGAATCTATACCCCCAAGGGGGTACGATCGAAGACGACGAGGGCGGGTACCGAGGGTTTGGGATGTACGTATTTATTGGCACGTGAGCAGACAGGAGCGGACAGTTTTGAAGTGATTGTTCTTGTTGTTGTTGTTGTGGTTGTTGTTGTGTTGTTGGTGTTGTTGTGGTTGTTTTTGTTGTTGTTGTTGTTGTTGTTGTTGTTGTTGTGTTTGTGGTTGTGGTAGTGGCTGTTGTTGTTGTTGTTGTTGTTGTTGTTGTTGTTGTTGTTGTGGTTGTTGTTGTTGTTGTTGTTGTTGTTGTGTTTGTTGTTGTTGTTGTTCCTGCTGCTGCTGTTGCTGTTGTTGTTGCTGTTGTTGTTGTTGTTGTTGTTGTTGCTGTTGCTGTTGCTTTTGCTGTTGCTGTTGCTCTTGCTATCGCTATTGCGCCGTTGTTGGCTTCTCATTACAGTAGTTGTTGTTGATCCCCTCTTGGGTGCACCTTGTGTTTCAACTACAGTGCTCATCCTTGGGCGCGCATCGGGTTTTTCATAAGGGAAATTCTTGGTCCTCAAAGTGGGCCCCAAGCCCCCGGTTTACAACAACAGCTGTTCCCGCCTGAGAATTCCTGCCAAGTTATTTCAAAATCGCGTTCTCGCGCGGGACTTCCTTTGGAATTTTTGCAGGAATCACGCTTTCGTGTGGTATTTCCTCACAATTCATTACAGCGCCATCCCCGCCCCCACGTTGGTATTTCCTCACAAGTGGTATTTCCTCACAATTGGTATTTCCTCACAATTGGTATTTCCTTACAATTGGTATTTCTTCACGAATCAGGCTCTGGCTATTGTTTCCTTCACGTTTTTTTTTTACTTGGGAATCGCGCTATCGCTCGAAGCCTTCCCCTCGATCCATGTTGGATTGACGCTTCGGTGGCCCGCCCGCTCGACCCGGCCGCCTGGGCCCGCCTGCCCGAGCTGTCCGTTTGGGTCCGCCCGCCCGACCCGCCCGTCTGGTTTTGCCGCCTGTGCTCCTGCTCCCACCCCCCTGCAAATCTCTCGCGTGCTCCGTCCTTCTCCCTCCCCCTCGTCTCTTCCATCCTCCCCCTGATCATGATGACGCTGATGCTGATGATGACGACGATGATGATGCTGATGCTGTTGTTGCTGATGATGATGACGATGATGATGCTTCTGGTGGTGGTGATGATGGTGGTGATGATGATGATGATAACGGTGGTGGTGTTGATGATGACGATGCTGATAATGGTGATGATGACGACGATGATGATGATGATGGTGATGATGCTGACGACGGTAATGATGAATCTGCTGCTGCTGCTGATGATGATGATGATGCTGTTAGCGATGATGATTATGATACTGAGGATGATGATGATAATGCTGCTGATGATGATGGTGGTGGTGGTGGCGATGATGATGACGATGACGAGGATGATGACGCTGCTGATGATGATACGGATGATGATGATGATGATGATGATGATGATGATGATGATGATGATGATGATGATGATGATGGTGATACTGATGATGATGATGATGATGATGGTGCTGTTGATGCTGATCAGGATCTTGATGATTATGATGGTGACGATGCTGCTGATGCTGCTGATGATGATGATGGTGCTCATCATGATGATGATGATGATGATGATGATGAAGATGATGAAGATGATGACGACGAATCCGCCGACGCTGGTGATACTGATAATCATTGCGATTGCGATGCTGGTGGTCATGATGCTGCTGCTAATGACGACGATGCTGATGCTGCTGCTGAGGATGCTGATGATGTGATATCGATTACGATGCTGATGAGGATGATGATCACGATGATACTTATGCTGATGCTGATGATGATGACGATGATAATGATGACGATGACGATGACGACGATGAGGATGACGATGATCACGACGACGACGATAAGGATGATGATGGTGATGATGATGATGAGGAGGATGAGGATGAGGATGAGGATGATGATGATGTTGATGATGATGATGATGATGCTGATGATAATGATGATGATGCTGCTGCTGATGATGATGATTATGATGATGATGATTGTGGTGACGATGTTGATGATGCTGCTGCTGCTGATGATGATGCTGATGATTAGGATGATGTTGCTGTTGCTGCTGCTGCTGCTGATGATGATGATGTTGATGATGATTATTGGGTTGATGTTGCTGTTGCTGCTGCTGCTGATGATGATGATGATGATGATGATGATGATGCTGATGATGATGATGATGATGATGATGATGATGATGCTGATGATGCTGATGATGGTGGTGGTGGTTGTGATGATGATGCTGACGACGATAATGAGGAGGATGAGGAGGAGGAGGAGAACGAGGAGGAGGAGGAGGTTGAGGAGGAGGAGGAGGAGGAGGAGGAGGAGGAGGAGGAGTTGGAGGAGGAGGAGGAGGAGGATGTGGAGGACGTGGGAGGCGGAGGTGGCTTTGCTTGAGGATCGCCGATTCCTGATCCCCTCGCCCTCTCTGCCCCGTTAGCGTGTGGAAGCGGCGCGCGGCGGAGGACACGCTGCTGAGCGTCAAGACCTTCCTCTACCAGGCGCTGCTTTTTTTTTCCTCTACCAGGCGCTGCGTGCCGCTGACAGCGGGTTGACCTGCGCTTGTCATCCGCTGGGCCAGGGGAAAGCAACGATGCCTTCTTCGGAGAGGGATGGAGGGAGGGCGAGTTCGATCGAACGTTGGCATGGGCGTCTGGCCGTGCTCGTGTCCGCGAGGGGTGAGCATAGTAGCGCGCCATATTACTTACACGCCACCAGCCACCCCGAACCTCGCGAGGGGTGACGCGCGAAACGATGGGTGATTCCAGCCTCCCGTCCAGAGATCGACCTGTCGTAGGGGCCGTTGCCTTTCCGCCGCCCCCCCCCCCACCCAGGACGGCCCAACAGGGCCCTGGGGAGGACCCCAGGAGGGCCCCAGGAGACCCCAGACAAAACACAGCATCGTAAACAGCAAACCATGGCGGGCGCAGACGTCGAACCAGTCCTGTGTTTTTTTCCCAGCCATCCTGAGGTGTTGAGCCCTCGTTTTGAAGTGACAGCGTTACGCGTCTCCTCTCCTCTCCTACCCCGTCTCTTCTTTCCGCTCCTCTCTTGTCCTCGCCTCTCCCTTCTTTTTTCTCTCCTCTCTCGTCTTTCCTCTCTCCTCTCCTCGCCTCTCTCCTCTCTCCTTTCTCCTCTCTCCTTTCTCCTCTCTCGATTATCCTACTCTGAATCGTCCCTCTGACCTCTCCAAGATCCTCTAGCCCGCACTTAGCTCTCCTTATCTCCTTCCTCATGCTCTCCTACCCTCTATTCTCCCATCTCCTCTCGCCTCTCTCTCTCTCCGCTCTCCTCTATCTCCCCTCGCTTTCATCGACCCATTCTCTCTCTTCTATCTCCTTCCTCCACTGCTCCTGTCTCTCCTCTCGTCTCCTGCTCCTCGCATGCTCATCCCTACTCTCCTCTCTTCCCTCTCCTCTCCTCTCCTCTCCTCTCCTTCCTCTCCTCTCTCTCCTCTCCTCTCCTTCCCTCTCCTCTCCTCTCCTCTCCTCCCTCCCCTCTACTCTTCCCTCTCCTCTCCTCTCCCCTTCCTCCCTCCTCCTCCTAGCTCTATCTCCTATTTCCATCTCCTATCTCCTATCTCTATCTCCTATCTCCTATTCTCTATCTCTATCTCCTATCTCCTATTATCCTATCTCCTATCTCCTATCTCCTATCTCCTATCTCCTATCTCATTCCTATACTTTCTCCTCGCCTTCTTCCTCTCCTTCCTCTCCTACTCCTCTCCTCTCCTCCTCCTCTCCTCTCCTCTCCTCTCCTTCTCTCTCCTCTCCCCTATCTCCTACCTCCTATCTCCTATCCTCTCTCTCTCCCCTCTCTCCTCTCCTCTCCTCTCCTCTCCTCTCCCCTCCTCTCCTCTCCTCTCCTCTCCTCTCCTCGCACGTTACGTGGCCCCATGGAGAGCTCCACCGACGGCTTCGCTGGCAAGGCTCGAGGGGGGTTTCCCCAAGCCCATCTCGGCACACCCCTCACACGCTTCGTGGTCCCATGGGGAGCTCCACCGAATGCCTGAGTGGCGGAGTTCGCATGCGTCCTCTGGCCCATGTGGCAGGGTTCACATGCGTCCCCAGGCCCGTTTCGATACACCGCTGACACGTTTCATGGTCCCATAGGGAGCTCCACCGAAGGCCCCAGTGGCCGTGTTCGCATGCAGCTCCCCGCCCATTTCGGCAGACCCGTCATATGTTTCGTGGACTTGTATATGGGGCTCCACCCAAGAGGATCCTATGAACGGTGGTTCTCACAACTGCATATGGTTGTGTCTATCGCAGGGATCATTCTGTGTTTGGAGCGGGAGGGAGTGGAGGGTGGATCGGATTGTATCCAGGCGCTTCAGAGGCCTCTTCGGGCTTGTGGGGACCTTCTGAGACCTTCAGAGGGGGATGGTGTTTTGTGTTTGTTTGTTTTGTTCAGGTCTCTGGAGGCCTCCACTGAGGCCTTAAAGCTCGATTGCTGGTTCGGATGCGACGTTTTTTTTTTTTTTTTTTGGGGGGGGGGGGGGGAGTTTGGGAAGTTTGCCAACTATTGTGCGCATGGTGCGCGTTTCCGTTGCAAACGACCTAACCTCTGTAAGACCGTTGCTACGCGGCTATACGGCTGGTCTGTAGGACGGCGGGGTCCGCCACCATGCGTCGCGTCAGTCAAGTCTCCCTCTGGGTCCAGATCGTTGACGCCCACGCTCTGGGTGCACTGGGGCCGCTTCCAAGAAGGGCATTTGCCTTTTCAGCGGCTGGTAGGCGGGCTCTCGCAGGACACTATCGCCTGCCGCACCCTCGGAGGGAGGGACCGTGAAGGACGCTGGTGCACGGCGGAAGTAAAGCCAAGGCTTGTCCAACACCCATTCGCCGACTTCTCGCGCGCGCCCCTGCTCAGGAAGGCCTCTCGTTGTTGCCCTCGTTTGGAGCTGTTTCGGGGATCCTGGCTGGGATGAGTTTGGCGCTGAGGTGCTTCGGTTCTGCGCCCCCCACGTGTCCTCGTGCCCCCCATGGTGACGAGTAAGGATTGTGTGCTCATGACGCAAGATGCGGGCACAAGTTGTGTCCATATCCACTGCAGCTTGGAGCTTCGGGCTCCCTTCCCCAGAAAGCCGAGGCGCACTGGATACGGACAGAAATGTGGCCCCCACAAGAGGCCCGACCTTTATCCCTATGCAGTGCGCCTCGGCCTTGCGGCGCCCCTTCCACGATAAGTCTTAGACGCCCTGGATACGGACCACAACGATCGGCCGCGCAGGATTCGGAGGAGGCGGGAGCCCCAACCGGTGCACGCGGGCCCTGGGCCCCCGCTCTCCCCTGTTGGTGGCCCGCCCTGTTCTCCTGGTCTCGACGCCCTCTTCCTCGCTGCCGCCCGCTCCTCCCCTGTGCGCGCGGCCGCACGCGACGGGCTCGGAGCCGACGGCGGCTCGGGCCCCTCCTCCAGCTTTCCCTCCGACGTTTCCGTCGCATGCTTGATCACGAAGCGATAGGAGGCTGCGCTCTCCCCCCTCTCCTCCCCCTCTCTGTTAGTTCAAGCTTCGCGCGGCCCGCTTGGCTTCGACCGGAAGAGGTGCGCTCTCGACCCGCAAATAAAAAAAAGATCATGAAGCGATCGAGCGAGCGAGGCGGAGGAGAGGGAGGAGCCCAGGACGGCGGCATCGTCGGGAACCTGGCGCGCCAGCTCGCCGTCCCCGTGGCCGCCCTGGGCCTGGGCCTGGTGCTGTGGTGCGCGCTGCCGAAGCAGGCGCGCCCCCGGCTCCATTGAGGAGGGGGAGGGTGCGGGAGGGGAGGGGGAGGGGGAGGGGGAGGAGGGGGAAGACGAGGACGAGGAGGAAGAGCAGGAGGAGGAGGAGGAGGAGGAGGAGGAGGGGGAGGAGGAGGGGGATTCGATGATGATGATGATGATGATGATGATGATGATGATGATGATGATGATGATGATGATGATGATGATGATGACGATGATGATGATGATGATGATGATGCTGATGCTGATGCTGACGATGATGACGACGATGACGATGATGATGATGATGATGATGATGAATGATGATGATGCTGCTGCTGACGATGACGATGACGATGACGATGATGATGAGATGATGTGATGATGATGATGATGATGATGATGATGATGATGATGATGATGATGATGATGATGATGATGATGATTGATGATGATGATGTGATGATGCTGCTGCTGCTGCTGCTGCTGCTGCTGCTGCTGATGATGATGATGATGATGATGATGATGATGATGATGATGATGATGATGATGATGATGATGATGATGATGATGATGATGTGGAGGAAGAGGAGGATGAGGAGGAGGGGGGTCCGTAGCCATTTTGGCTCAAGCCACGGGCTGAGGGGGGCTGGGCCGTCGTCGCCCTCGTCGGTCGCCCCCTCGTGCTCGGGCTCGCGCGCCGCGGGCCATCGCTCGGCGCCGCGGCCGCGGCAGGCGCCCCGCCAGGACGCCTCGTGAAGGCGAACCATCCTGGCATCGGCAGTTGCAGGAGGAGCTTACGCGCATGGAAGCACACACGTCTCGGAAGGCCTTCAACGAGCTTCATCTCGAACTACAGCACCACGAGCAACGACTCCAGCGCCGCTTCCAGGAGGAGATAGACGAGATCAACGTGCGCAACCGCCACCTAGAACATCAGCAGGCACAACGGTTCCTACGACAGTCCGAACAACGACGCCAGGAAGATGAAGCTGAACAGGCACATCGCATGAAGACCGAGCTCGAACAGCACCAACTACTTCACGACGCCGCACGTGGTCACCTTGCACGGCGGGAAGCAGTACAGCAACACGAACTACGGGAGGCTAAGCCATTCTGGCTCCAGCATCTAATATCCGAGCACCGCCTTCAACAGGAGGAAGCTCAGTGTGCCCACAACCTCCTACTCCAGCACGAGATGAGAGGGCAGCAACAAGAAGACGCACTTCGACTGGCTCAGCAACGACAGCTTCATGAAATCAACTGCAGGGCTCATGCGGAATCATCGGCACTCATGCAAGCCAAAGAGAAGATCCTCGAGGAGTACGGTGAACTGCGTGCGCAACAACACGAAGCAGCCACGATTCGCACCGAGCATCAGCACGAACGAGCCCGACTCCAAGGCGAACGTGCCAACCTACACCTCACCGAGCAGCAGCTCCACGACAGGTACATCAACCGCCTGGCGACGACCGAGGAGATGCGAATAAAGGAAAGGGAGGAAATGCAACGTGAGTTTCGACAAGCCGAGCTTCATCATGACCCTCTTGATCTTGAACTGTTGCAAGAATTGAACACGAGATTCAGCGAGAGAGACGAGGAGGAAAACAGACAGCAGGCGTTAGCCGACTCAGAGGAGAAGCGCATCCACCGCGAGATCGAAGGCGCCCTCACCGCGATCATCCCAGGCCCCTACGAGATGCCTCACCCACACGCCGACATCTACCTCGAGCAGCTACGACAGATGAGCTCTCCACCGAACGCAGCTCATTCCACGCCCAACTCAGACGCATGGAGCTCACGAGACCTCGGCTTTGCAGCCGCACCACCCACCTCACCACCCGCCCCGAACCCCGACCACACACGCGACAGAACGCCCATACACCCTCCAGCCAGTATCGCCCCACTCAGCGATGCCGACCACGACAAGCCCTCTGAAGCACACCACGGCGATACACAAGCACACCAATCGAGCTCTCCAAGATCTTCGTGCTCTCCCACGCCCATCGCCGACGACGGCTACCTCTCTCAGCACGACGACGGACAGTCTACTCCCATTCCTGACCTTCATCACGACTCCGACCTCGAAGGCACCGACACCCCCATCCCAGCTGAGCAGGCCACTCCCCCCACCCCACACATCATCTTCCCCGAAGTACGTGCCATGTCCGCCCCCCCCGACACGAGATCGACACCCGACGACCAACAGCGTTCCACGCCCCTCACCACAATTCTCATCGATCTCAGCGACGACGAGCACGAAGTACCCACCACGCCCAAGACTCGACCGATCACCAGCATCACCCCAACCCAAGCCTACAGCCCCATCATCCCTCCACCCAGATTCCATATGGGAACGCCCGACAGGGCCCAGTCAGCGCCACCCTCACGAACCCGATCGGCCCTTAAGAGACAGGACTCCACATCACGACCACCGCGGAAGGTCCGTATCCACGACAGCGGTGACGGCTTCGTGGACATATCCGACCGCGTCCCTCTCCGTGCCGATCCCGACGATGAAGGATCGGACACCGCGCTGCGTCCAAAAAACTAGATACGAACGACCCCGATGAGGGCGCTCTGGCTCATCGGACCCGTCGAAAAAGACCAGAGCAACAGGCCCCTGGGCGGCCTCAAGCGTCCATACGTAACTCTCGGCCCAGCGCCACACAGCATCACAATGTCACAGAAGCAGCAACGAACCTTGCGACCCCTGCGGTGCAGGTAACTTGCAGCTTCAGACACGCACACCCACCCCGACTTCCACTAGGGAAGCCTACATCGACTGACCTCGACAGGCTGACACCCGCTTTGGGGACCGCGGATCAGCACCGAGCGCCAGGCAACATAGACAGCCGACTCTGCCACCTTCCATCCTCGATAGCAGACTCCACTAGCTTGCAGACCGCAACCAACCTGACGACCCAGGGGGTGCAGGTGACTTGCACTTCTGACAGCCACCTTCCGACACACACCACCAGTCCACGTGCACTGACTCCTGCTTTGGGGATAGCAGATCAGACCCGACGGACAACGGCAGTAGTTTCACTTGCCTCACACGACCAGCACGACGCAACCGATGGACAACCAACAACTATCCACCATAGGCGCCACCCGACCGAAGAGTGGGAAATCCACTCGAGCGGTTCGCGCCCCCACCCAAGATCGACTGCCATACTGGGGAGGGCCCCCCCAGATGGCACCTCGCGCAGGTTGACACCTCCACGAGCGCCACCTGGCTCCTACGCCGCCACTTCCGACACATCGCCAAGGCACGACCTACCTCGCTCCACCATTTCTGAGAGCACTCAGCGTGTCACGCCGACCACACCAAGAGTAAGGCCAGGCGACGAGACGAATCGGCTACACACACCACCCCGACTCGAGCGACCCAAGCCCGACGCCACGGTCGCCACAACTAGCCATTTTGGCTCTACGCATGCACGGAAATTCAACGGCTCCGACGTCCACAACGAGACGCCCGAGTACCACAGTGCGATCACGATAGACTACTTCCCTGGGATCGAGGATACTTTCCTCGATAATAGCAGCGAGATGGATAGCGGCAACTTCCACCTCGATGACGACGCCATTCGCACGCGGCTTCTGGCACGAGTCCGACGGCAGCAGCAACGGCGACTAACAGCACAGCAGACATCTACGTACACCACGACCCACAATCGATTCCAAGCCCTGCAACCCAGCCCACCGCCACCCTCAGCAAGACATACCACCACGCTTCCGACACAGCAGCCCACCGGCCATCCACCAGTAGCCCTGACAGCATCCCAGGGCGCTGGACATGGCACAGCAGCACCCGACAGAGACCGCCACGCGGCCACAGGTGAAAGGCGACAACGACAAAAGACAGCCATGCACCCCTTTCGATGCCCAACAGGAGCTTCTGCAACAACACACAACGGACAAGCTGCACACAGACGACAGCAGAAGGCGACAGCATTGCTACCGTTTCGAGTACAGCGACCACCCAATCCTAGCGCCGACAACCAGCCCCAACAACTGCAACCATCGTACCACGAGGCCAATCTCGACATCACAAGATACCACGGCATGCAACCACCAGGCGACTGCACATGCGACCTAGGGGACACCAGAGGACTGATCAGACGAATACGGGCCACGACCGCCCCCTTTCTCAACGCTAACATCGAAGGTGACGACCTGCACCCAGCAGCAACATACGCGCTCAACAATACGACGAAAGGCAACAATGCCCACAGCGCAAAGCACATCTTCACTGACGCTTCCCACAACGCACGGAGACCAGACTGCTGCTCATGGGCATTCTTGGTACTACAAGAAGGTGGCGAACACGACCAACACACGTTCAGAGGAGCCTTCAGCAGCATCGTCAGCAAGAGCCACAACATGAAGTTGAATGACCGCAGCACCACCAACACCACAGGCGAAATCATGGCCATCGTGCAGGCTCTCATGTGGTCCATCGCCGTCGCCGAGCCGCAACCTATCTGCATTCACACCGATTGCGAGACGGCCATCAACATATGCATGGGGCGCGCCACAGCAACAGCAGACGAACATCTTGCGAGATTCATGAAGGTCATCTTCGACACGCTCAAGAACGAAAACGACATAACCTTGCACCACGTCCCGAGTCACGAAGGCATGCCTTGGAACGAGCTCGCCGACGGAATCTCAAAGAGGACACGCAAGCGCTACGAGAGAGGCCACGACTACGACACCATCCCGCACAACTTCAGAGACATCATTGCGGACACAAAGTACTATCAATGGGAGTCGATCCTCCAGACTGATCATCTCGATCGAGCAGCTTACCCACTACGCGAAGGTGCCACCTTACGCTTTGGATTACCAACTCGGAATGCTAGTGTTCGGCACCTCATGGCGCCTAAGACGGTCTCTGCCAAAGAAACCAAGATCGAGCTCTCCATCGCAACCTACAACGCCGAGAGTGTCAGAGAGTCCGACGCTCAGCAGCAGAAGAAGTTCACAAAGGCAGCACGGCTTGCACACCA